GAGCCTTCGTTCTAGGCTGCCTCCGAGCATTACGCCTCGGGTCTGTCCCGGCATCGAACGAGCGCTCCAGCGCCCTCTGCAGCCCTGCACCCGTCCCTCGCACAATCTCTGCTCTGAGCTGAGCGCCAGCCTCCTCAGTCAACTTCTTAGAGGCTCAGGTTACTCATCACCATGGGCACTCAGAGAGAAGGATCATCACGCGAGGCTGCCCAGCCTGGCCCCACGGCCGCAGCCCCAGTCAGGCTCCGCCAAGTGCCCAGCGGGCTGGGGCGGGGACCCGCCCTAGCTGGCAGCAGTGCCCCAGAGCGACTCCAGGGAACACGCAGGCTGCCGGGTACATGGGGACGGCGTCTCCAAGGCCTGTCTGGAGGACACTGCAACCAGCTGCAGCCTCGTTCTCCTCCCCACAAGCCTGCTGCAGTTCCCTTTATGCGCCGCCCCGCGTTGCAAGGGGAGCGCTTGTAGTGCATGGCCGCAGGCTAGCCCCTGCCGCTTGCTGGCCCAGGCCCCGCACAGACCCACCGCTGCCCCCTATCCGAGGAGCCTCCCAGCGGCTGGCCAGCCCTTCTCTTGCCAGAGCTGTTCCCGTCCCCAGGTGCTTTTGGAGCCTGGAGCAGACAGCTGGGCCTGCAACACTGCGCTGGCCCGCTGGCCGGGGGCAAGTCGATTGCACCTGGCTAGTCCTGGCAAACGCCAGCCTCCCCCCGCGCTGAGCCGGCTGCAGCCCTTTCACCTGTTCCGGTTGAACTGGATGGCGAAGTCGGACATCACCTGCAAGGCCTTGTTCGTCAGCAAGAGGTCCATGGAGATGGTGCCCACCTGACGGCTGAATGTGCCAGAGATCTCCAGCCCCTTGGCCTTCATGGCTGGGAGCCAGACCTGAGGACAGGAAGAAGTCGCTGACCGGTGGCACACGAGGAGAACTGGCAGGTGGCCTCCCTCGACGGGCCCCAGGCCCTTTCCCACAGCCCTGCTGGGCGTCACTAGCGCGGGACGTGCGGGACTCTGCTCAGATGGTCGCAGCTTTCTGGGGAAGATTCCCCTGGGGCCAGCCCTTGCTCTTTCCTAAGAGGTGCCCTGTTCCGGCACCGAGGGGCTCCAGGCCATGTCAGCCTGCAGGCCACGCCCGACTCCCTCGGCACCAAAGGATCCTCCACGTTCCCCTCCGCCTGAGCAGCTTCCCCACCCCAGGTTAATCTTCGGTAGCGCAGCCCCCGCGGCCTGGGAACGCTGGAGCCCGCTAGCCAGGCCACTCACCGTTCGGGGCGCCACGGC